TACCATAACCAAATACCGAGAACCCCTAAAACCAAAAAGCAACCCCAGTGCTAGGTCCTCCACAAAAGTGGAGGAGGAACGGCAAAACCGGTAATAAAATGAAATCCGAGGGCAACTTCCGGACCTCAACCATATTTAAATGATACCGACGCGGAGTAAAAAGATTATGTTAAATTAACCCATTAAAAATCTCCCCCTGCCCTTTCCCACTGTTCTCCTAAATCCAAACATACCATATAACAGTTTTGCGGGTTTCCCGTTATGAAGTATAACAGACTTGCCAGCCTCAAAGCATTTAAGATTGCAGCACAAGCAGAGAACGATTGTTTTTAAGATAGTAAGTTGATCCGAATATCATCGTCATTCACTTAAAATAAACATTCAGCAGTGCAAGGAAACAAAACATCTAGTCCATTACAAAGAAATCTTAATTATTTAAATCCAAAGGATGATAACCAACTAAATCTCCACATATCTCATCTCATTAACCAACAACTGTGGCCTGTGGGCTGCCACAAATTACAAAACGGAGATAATAAGAGCAAAAGGTAGCTGGCATCACCCCTTTCTGCTTCAAACAGTTTATGCATCAGCAAACCTGCAGGGCAGGAAATATGCAATCAACATAATTTGCAGAGGTAAATGCTGACAATCATATTTACAATTGAAATGAGAAATGGGTTTACCCTAGCTCAGAGAGCTTCAAGTGAGCTTCAGCATAATCAGCAAAGAAGGCATCCTCATCCTGCAAATGTAGGAATTTACAGAAGATGAATAATGTTCCAATGACAGTATAAACAATGCTATAGCATCAAGACCAGAGACAAACCTCAGCATATATCTCAACCAAAGTTCGGAAAACAGGATTATCTGGAAGAGGCTTGTCAGATGGAAACTGTAGAAGGCCTTCTTTCTCTCCAGTCAAGAGTTCCCTAAGAATCATAACAAAGGCAAACACAAACTACCTCATTTACATGACTGATGCAACCACACCATTAATAAATAACTACGACCTAAAAAATAGAAGAACAAAAATCAACTGAGAACAATAAAATAAGGAGAGAGATCTCACTTGAAGTAAGAGTTGTCAAAGATGAGAGGGTTGGTAGTCCATGGTCCGTCAAAGCCAGACCTCTCCTTCCGGTAGCTTCCCTGCAAGGACAGAGCAAGAATAGGTATCTAATTAAAACGATGAACAATGCTAATGCTAAACTTATGGAGAATTGAGAAATAGCACAAACCAGGGTGTGGCCACCCGAGAGAACAATAATATCCTGGTCACTAAACCCCATTTGCACATTGAAGACCTGGCTCAAATGGTCAGTGCCTGCAAGAGTTCCATTAAGATATTAAATCAAAACCATCATTAAGACCTAGACTTAATTAAAAGTAAAAGCAACAAGTCCTAACCCTTGGTGGCATCAGGAAGACGACCCTCAGGAGGTGGCTGGGGCTTGTCCTGAAACAGATAGCAGATAATATCAGTTAATTTCGAGAACAACATGCATGAGGATAAGAATCAATTAAGGGAGACAGTTTATCATCCAATGATTTAACAAACGAAAACTATAATGAGCGTCCATGGAATAAGACGTCATTCCAAACGTTTGGCAATCTGAAAAGATAAACTTCTTCCGACAATTTAGGCCAAATTATGTTGCAAAATTCTGAAACAGAAACAACTGCAGAAATACTAGCTTTTCCTTCTCACCCCTTTTATTTTTTAAAAAAGGACAATTGCAGCATGTCCAAACAAAAAAAAAAAAACCATGATTATAAATAGGGATTAAAATTAAAAGACAAAATATATGATTGAATCATAATAATAGAACGCCAACAAAGCATAATATAACAAAAATAACAGAGACAAATAATATTATGACAGAATGGCAGAAAATTTGGAAATGGGGCAACCGCTCAAGCTCAAGCAACTAAATAATATCGAAACAAAAATTAAAATCGCTAAGAAAAGAATAAAAAAATGTCACAACTCACCTCCCTACCGGGATGGAAAGGGACCACCGGTCCACCAGTAACCTCAACAGCGACGACACCAGCAAGCTATAAGTTATAACACCGAAATCAAATAATCATCCAAAGCTACACAGATTTTATTCACAACATAGTTAAATCTAAAACAAATCAAAATTCAGAACCAAACAAAACATACCTGGTAGAGGTCAGCGTAGGAGAGTATGGGGAACTGCTCCTTGAGGGGTTCCAGAAGCCTTACGGCCTTATTAGGGCCATTGTTGGTCGTCTTCACATCGAATGTAGCAGCTGAATGCCACCTGCATACCAGAACACCACATAACCACATCATGATTCTCACAAGTCACACAACCAGATTCACAATATACAAAAACAGAGAAGCTAATGTGCGTCGTCGACTTACGCCAGACGGAGCATGAGCGGAGCGCAGTTCTCGGAGGCGACTAAGCCTCTGAGCTTCTTCCTGGCCTTCTCAACAGCCTTCTTGTACTCCTCACTGACGGTCGGGTAGTTCTTCGTCATCTTCTCGATACTGCAACAACCAAATTAAAAAAAAAAAAAAAATCAGTGAAAATCAAACAAATCAGCATTTAATCCAACAAGAGAATCCGATCGCCGATCGAACTCGCATTTTTCCTCCGATATGAAGAAACAGCGGTTCGCCGATTTATCTACTGACCTTGGGAGCAGCTACGATGAAGTGAATGGATGCTAAGAAAAAACCCGGCGGAGGCATTTATAGGCGCGAATGGGGAAGGAAGTTCGCGCAAATATTCTCTAGAAGAATAGTATCAGCCGTTGGATTTTCAATATCGGAATTTAGCGGGAAACGAACGGAGGTGATTTGATTTGGAAAT